TATTTGTGTTTCATTGCCGCCCAGACGAATGAAGGGTTTCTTATTATCGTACAAATTACAGTTTGCAACCCCTACGTTATAACTAGGGTGTGTACTTTCCGGTGTTTATTTGTGAGAAAAATCGGCGGATGTTTTTCGGTGTTTATTTATTTTCGAAACACCGGTGTATTTCGGTGGAACGTCTCACGACGAGGCTAAAATCGGTGATTATCGGTGGAAAAAAATGCGATTGATCACAGACAGAGAGTTCTAATTTTATTCACAAAATCATACACTTCTCAAGGAAGCATATATTTCTTACACTTGGTTATTATAGTAGAAGCAAGCATACTTCGAGAGGCTTGCATCCGTCATGGCAGCACGTTTTCACAACCCGCAATTTTGAAAACACACGCTCCACATTTTCGCTGGACACAGGAAATCCCAAAATGTCCAGCCAGGCTTAGGACAGTAGTGGCCAGTCAGGTAAATGAAGTTTCCAAAATAACACTAAATCAACGGTGCTAGTCACAGCATACTGGCGTTAACAAAGAAACTCTGATTCTAGGTCACTCAGCTAGCTCTCGTCTCGGAGGACCAGCCGATAGATACTTTCATAAGGCACAAATCTCTCTGGCAGCTCCATGTTTATGCACGGATTAACAATTGGCACGCGGAACCAGAACGACGATTCATCCATGAAATCTGTAGCGTAGTCATCCTGAGCTTTCCGCTTACTTCCCATCGTGGTGGCCTTTTACTCCGCGTGACGACGAAGGGAAGCAAGTCTCAGGTTGAGAAAACCCGCAGACGCAGGACGGACGCGCCTTCTCAGACACGTCTACAAATTTTTTTACAGAACGGTTCTTTTATATACAGCCGAAAAACTCCCCCGCCGACAAAACCCTTTTTTCGTTTCCCCAAAAGCCCACGGAAACTAAACAGATAACAAGGAACGCATCTCAGTTCTGAAAGCTCAGTAGCCCTGTACGACACGGATGTTGGTAGTGTCTTCCAGGAACCACAGCAACCTCTGAATACATGGCTTGCACCGACATTACTTGGCCAGACATAATGGGGAAAAGGCACGTGAGAGCGTACCCTCCGCTGCGTTAATTTTTCCACAAAAGGGGGCCATGGGTGACACAATGGGGAAAGGCGTGTGAGAACTTAGCTTTTACTGCGTTAACTAGACGCTTTTCACCCCCAGAAAGGAGGGCGGACTGACGCCACGTGCAAGCCATGCATAGACCCTGGAAGAATGCAGGATCCACGAGATAACACGTTTGACGAACCTCCACGGGGAAAGGGTTTCGCTAGGTCGGAAACGTGCAACGACCGGTGTTTTTCGGTTTTAACCGGGGCGAAAATATCCAACCACCGGTGTTTTTCGGTTTTAACCGATTTTGTATTTTTGTCACCGACAGATGTTTATCGGTGTTTTTCGGTTAAAACCGGAAAATACACACCCTAGTTATAACTTATAATCAACCCACGCTTACGAAAAAATATTGCAGAGAGTATTAATATTTATAGCTTAAATCGCAAATCATTGTACCTATATTTCTCGTAACATGTATTCCTTTGTGAAAACCGGTCAGCTAATGTATTTTTTTATATATATGTTAGTTTGATTCCTTTTTGAATATCTGTCACGATGTGGCAAGCAATCCGGACACCGACGTCGTCAAGCAAACAAAGATTGTTTATTTTTGTCCGCGGCTCCGGCATTTGTACATGCAGATGCACATAAAGTGATTTTGATTTAGTTTGAATAAGAACACTTATAGGCTTTATATATAACTTTTACTTACGTTTAAGGGTCAAGCGTGACGGTCGAGCGTTAGAGTCAAGCGTTACAGTTTTTCGAGGAAGTGGGAATATACGCACATTCCGTGTTAAACATAATATTATGAACTCGACGAAGACTACTCTTATATTATAATTTTTAATATTGCAATTTGATCCAGACGTTGTCGAAAATAATCTTTCAATAGACACATGCTTTTTTTTCCGTTTTAATACTTTTTCCTTTGAAACTAGCCCTATTCTCTTAGTTTGTTATGTTGTTTCATCACACTTCTGGACAGAAACGAGGTAATTATTATTTTATTTATTTTGGGCGTTCCGGCATTAGTTTTACACGGAAGTTTCTGGAAAACTGAGAAGAAATCAGTTTCTTCATTCATATTACTCGATGTTCTGAGCCGCGGTCCCATCAATCAAATTTTTATATACGATGAATCCTGCAGCGTCGAATGACATGATTGGGGGTGTGTTATCATAAATGTTTTTATCAATCTATTTGAAGAATAAAATAAAAGTTTCTTTTTGTCAGACAACTGTAATATGCAAAAATACATTTTATACTGATGACACGAATTCGAATGTTTCCAAGAATACATTTTTGAGCCATGTACTACTCGCAAAAGACTAAGAAAAAAAATCAGCAAACGTATGACAAGAGTAACATAAAAGTGTATTTGGACGGTTTGTTTTCTTGAATATAATTAAACATGTATTGGGAAATATTCCTATAGATTAAGACTAGTCCTATAAGTACTGTAAATTATTCAATGCAAGCGAGTTTCTACGTTCTCAAAGTGACTGATATTTAAGGATATATTTAATGATGATGAAACTCGTTACGAATCGGTAACTATTTATTAAATAATTGATGATTTTGATAAAACAGTCCATTAAACGGAAAGTACGAAGCCTAAATAAATAAAGCCTGAAATCTGTACAAATTGTTGGCCATAGAATCTTAGGCATATGTAACCCATTTAAAGCAATCTTTTCGGCATGAGCGCACCAAACGAGCTCGCTCAATAGGGCAGTCTCAAGTGTTTTACATTTAAGCTAACCATAAATATATTAATATTCGTCACGTGGATATAAAAAATTTGACTTTTTCTCGTAAATATCACGTGTGCGCACCTTTCAACGTTGAGGTCTATCATCAAGTTATTGCAACCTACAGGCATTTCGCCTAGGTCTGTTTTAGAGGTGTGAATATGCTGGAAGAAATGAATACATTATGGCGGATAACACAGATATCAAAAACTATATTTTTTATTAAACACCATTGATAAGGTTGTTTATATTTTACGAAAAAGAAAAAAAATCGAGATGAAAGCCCTTGAGGACACCAGAAGTGATATTTAAATATTGATAGTTTTCCTTAATAAGCGGCTTCGGTCGCTAATCTAGATTAAACCTTTCGAGAACATTGTTATCAATTGAGATTGATAACGATACATTGTTGAAAAATGTAGACCGTGAAGTTTCTATTGATTTTTACAAGACCAAAAGCATTGGTTCAATAAAAATGCATATCACACATTTTCTAAATATCAACGGTGCTGCAAGACTGAAAATCGTCGACAATGGCAGTGCGGCACGATGTCTGAGAACGAAGTTTGTGCTGATCTTGGGTAAGCATGAATTGTCCAGGCTTAAGTTAGCATCGAGGTTACTTTGAACAGCGTGTTCCATATGCTTAAAGCACATGCAAGATAAGCAGATTAGTTCCAAAGTTTTACACAATTTTTATTTTCTGATTTACGTATCGGCACTACTCTTGCTGTTTTACAATTCAATGACGTTCTGGGTTTGAACATTTTATCATAGTTCTAAAAATAGTTATATGATTGCTCTCCTCTTTCCCTTTTCAATGTTCATCTTTCTCTTTAAGTCGAATTTGTGCTCTTAGTTTTGTTCAATTATCAGCCTCGTCTTTTTTTCACTCCAGGTTGATTGTTACTGTTAGAATATTACATTCCAGTTAAAATACTTCTGAACGAGTTAATCAATGTTCAAACCTTGTATATTCTGAGGTTCATCAAAGCTACCCTCGTACAAGCGTCCTAATATATGCAAGGAAACGTGAAAGTTTACTTCAAATGTCGTCATTATTTTACTAATCACAATAGAACAGTTAGTTTTCTTGAAGCTTTGGTTTATCTATCATTGGTCGAAAGAGCTTAGCTGTAAAAATCCTATGATCGAAAATGCCAGGTAAGCAGATGCAGTTGACAGGCCTAAGCCAGTTCGTACAAATTGGTGAAAGGTCAGTTTCTGTAAGTTCAAGCCGACCCTTCACCAATCAGATACAATTAAGATTAATATAAGGCAATCTCACAAGGAATTCTAATAGCATGGTTACTCCCAATTCAAGCGGATTAATCACACGCTTAAAGTGACGTTTACATACCAAATTATCTCATTTTTTACGCAAAGCAGGTGATCATGTTGCTAAAAGATCACTATGTGTCTCCAAACAAAAATAAATAATAGAAAGTAACGAATAAGAAGCACACACATTAAAAATAAAAACACAAACTAATAAAAAGAAAGCTATCATAAAACGATGAAAAATTGTCAAAAGATCGAGCACGAACAAAGTTAGACATCGAAGAAATCACGCGTAAACCAGCGGACCAGTCCGTAAAACTGTGACGTGCGAAACGTCGAGGTCTAGCAGGTTGCTTCTCTCCCAGCGGCTACAAAGGTCATTTAGCATCAATGCGTTTTTGGTATTGCAGAATTCTTAGAACGTACGTTTAATAAGTTATATTATTTTTTTTTTTATCTTTGAAGATTTGCAAAAGACGGCTTATTCCTTTTCCGATATTCTGAGTTCTGCCTTAAATATATCTCGAACAGTTTAAATATATATCCAATGTTCCCTGATGCTTGAAATGCTGCATTTGTTTTTGTTCGCGACGATAAAAAAAGGGTACACATTTAATGGCATACTAATAATATATTTGAACGCATAATTATTTTATCAACTCCGCAAAAGCGCATAATTAAAAAAAAAAAAACTCGTATAAAATAATTCCAAGGAGTGGTGATTACCTTAAAGTACAGTTTTACTTTTATTGAGGGTCTCTTACCAAATGAACCATTGCAGTTTTAATCGAATTAGTAAAAAAAAATTCTGAAGAAACAACGCAGATTATATTTTGCGTTTCTGCTGTCTAATCATTAACAATAAAATTAAACGTTATACTTACGCTGGTGGGTGACATGTCGAGCTGACTGGCCAATGACTTGAGGAGGACGAATCCCCGCACATCGCCCGGCGATGACAGTGAACGCATCACAATCATGTGTTTGACAGCGCTCATTTTCTCCGTCAAAGTCGTTTTCCACACGATGCCGGAAACGGACCGCCTCAGACGGAGCCGCAGACTACGTGACCCGCCCTTCAACGCCGCTCTCTACAGCGTCCTCTTGGACGCCGGGGCGTACGAAGACGGAGCGCGAGCCCCATGAACCGTCTACCCCGCGCCGCCAGACGTATTTACCAAAAGATGGTGACGTCATTGTGACGCCATCGGATCCGCCGCGTCACGTGACGGGGCGGGGAGCAGCCGCAGTGGACGACGGGATTCTTTTCGAACGCGTCGGCGTCGGTGGAGGAATTTAGTGGTGGGTGTACCTAGATTTGAGAGTATTTCTAACAGCGCGTCCGGAGTCACGTGGTTCGCAGGACGCGTTTGCAGTACTAGCTGAATAAAGGAGACGACAGCGTCGACGGTCTGCAAGCGACTCCAAGCTTTGGTCGGCTTCATCCTCCGTTCTCGCCTTCGCCACGCGGCGCATGCGCACGAGCCACCAATTTGCGCTGGAGGTGCCCGCCATTAAACGGCGAGCGCTCCCCGTGGCTTGAGTTGCTCGCTGTCTCAAATCTAGGCTCTCCGGAATTCGCGAAGACGCGGCGGTGCGGCGCGGACGTATCGACCTCGCTGATTTTCTGGAGAGATAAATAAGAGGAATGAAAGAAGAAAGCGACGAAACGGAAGAAAATGGAATCGATGGCGGCGCAGTTTTCGAAAGTGGTGGGTATGACGGTGATCGCGCCCGACGTTCGCCCGATATGGGACGAGAATTGGGTGAACTGCTTGATTCATTTATATCGGTTTTCTCCTCTTGAGTTATGATGATTACCGTACTACTTGCGAGTTTTCTTTCGGTTCTATGCGCAAATCAACCCATGAAGAAATAATAATAATAATATTAATAATAATAATAATATATTAATGCGCATTGAAATTAGGGCAGTGAATATCAGCTGTTTCATTCGTTGATTATTTTCCTATATATTTTACATTGGACATGAACAACTGATTGCTTAGTACTGATGCATGATAGGCGAAAAAAAAAGGAAAATGCGCATATCTTTGCATAGAAAAAAAAACTTATATCATGATGCCTGAAAAATGTTAATTTTGTGAACAAAGTTTCAACGCGTAAAAAAACTTATCGAACCTAAAAAAAAAATAAGACGAAAAAACAAAAAAAAAAAAACAACCCCGCATAAAACAACATTATAAAAAAAAGACTAATTAAAAGAGGAAGTAATAAAGGATTCGGGGAAGAAAAACGTACCCGAAATTGATGTGAGGAAACTAAAAGGGTTTTTAAAGGGTTTCGAGGATGAGGCACGAACTAAAATCAAGCTAAGGACACTCGAGTTCTTTCTTCACTTATTACAATGACGTAATCTCAAATTTAAAGTTCGGGAGAGAGTCGAACGAAGGCGGAATGCAGCAATGAATGCAGCAACAGAATGCAACTAGATTTTCTGTATCTGGTGGAACAAAGCTCCGCTATGAGGCGAAGAATGCCACGTAATGTGAGAGACGAGTGCAATTGTGCTCTGAAATCATTGTTCCAAATGCTAGGGAGCGCGCCATTTTCGAGCAAAAGTGAACGCAATTTAAGATGTTTACGGTGCTGCCGGGGAAATGAGTTGCATGCGCCGCCGAGGAACTGAAGAAGACGAGGAGGCGTGACCGCGCGGAGACTTCAGAACACTATACCATAGCCTCCTCTATACTCACAAAGCCTGGCAATTCGACGAAGGAGCCATAGAGTGCCCGGTCGCAGATTTGGAGTGCAAGGATCTCGTAGCACAGAGCACCAAAGAGCCATTTCTCGGAGAACCTGGACGTCAGCGCACAAGTTTTGCAGCGTCGAGGACCCAAAACACACTTGTTCGCTCGAGAGAAGTGTGTTTCGGCGTCTCGCCGCAGCGGGGCGCCAGTCACGTGGCTCTCCCCTCATCCGTTGTCTGCCGCCCTTATCCTTATCAATTTCGGCGGTCACTTTTGGTGGCTATCTGCCAGGCTTTGGTAGTATATAGCCTATAGGACGCTATGGCTGCACACACGATTCTAAACCGCTGACAAACGGACGACAGGGGGGCGAACACACGTTGAGACGTGTACGTTTGTATCCTTATCGACCGTTCTCCTCCGAATTAGAATCGTGTGCCGCGTTAACCAGCTCGCCCGTCTAATAACTTCGTCTTCTAATGTCAGAACGCCCAGATATGAATGGAACGGTGAGTGGTTAGGCGGTGAACTTAGCTTCCTTTGCGTATACTCACTCTTCGAACACGGAGCGCTGGACGCCGGTGTTTGGCAATTGAACGCGTTCGAAGTACAAGTAGAGGCAAAGGCAGCTACCTCGAGCTCCAACGAGAGCTCGACGTTATGACGCACCCTCGCACTCTTGTCTCCTCCTCTTTGTCAGCTTTTGCCCGCACACACATCGCGGAATGTTCATTTCAGTAAAGAATACATTTTTGACGACAACCGTTATGGAGTATTGAGATACACTGGAGACAAAGCTAAAAAATGTGCAGAACTGTTTTGTTTTCCCGCAAGACCCTCGGGACAACCAATGGCTGCAGTCTACGAGGACGCTCGGCGAATGATGAGGCTGACAATATTTATCTAGAAAAATTATGGCAAGCTTCTAGGCAATCGTGTTGCATAAGTGAAAGGTTCTAGCATCAAAACGTTTAGATATTCTTGAGTTTCCCGACGCCAGACGGCTACGTTCACGGTGCTATTCACCGTAAATTTTAACGCGTACCATGTGTACACCCGTGAGCGATATGAAGGTGAACAGCCCTCTTCTTGTTTTTGACACTCCTGCAAGTTTTGGAACAAGCTCTGTTATAGAAGAGGGCTAAAACGGAAAGTTTAGACCGCAAGCCAAAGACCATTTGAGACGTTGAGGGTTAATATAGCTTTAGGGAGCCGTAAAACAGGCAAGAAACCAGGTAAGGTGTTCACCTTCATATTGCCGCTGGTGTACAGTCGATAGCTATTTCTAGAAGGAAGCGATACTACCGCTAATTGGGCTGATGAACCTGTGGATCTTCCAGAGCTTTCCAAACTCTCGAGCTCCTCTCCCTCAGTGCGCACAGGTGGTCGAGCTCCTACTTCCCTACCAGTCTTGGCACATAACCTCCCCCTTAATAAATCAGCTTTGCGCACGTCACTCCTCCTCTCCCACCCGTCATCCAATCGGTGTCGAGCCTCGCGGCCACGCTTTTATCTGGGCTTCACGAAATGATGAACCGCTAGATAAAGAATGTTTTATGTTAAGAACAATCTACACTGTGACACCCAGCATGATGTTTCACCATGCTCGGTGACACCACAGCATTTAGGTCGTAGCATATCACCGACCTCGTCAATTTCGATAAGCTATCTCCCTATATTGCAGGGATTGGATCTCCCGAGAGTTTTGCTGGAACGTATACGCTCTAGATGTCCGAGAGTGTAATCAAGCGCGTAAACAATTAGCATTTTAGCAGCAATAGTGATAATCGTAGGCGTCTGTGTAATTTTGCTGAAATCGGGTATTAATGGTTTTATTATTAAAATGAATTGGAAGGATCTACAACGTGTTATTTACTCCCTAGTAAGTTAATGGTTTAGAATACGCTGTATTTGTTTGCATGTTGTCAATGACAACTTAAAGCCGCAGAGCCTAGCCAGTCCCTAGCATCTCATTATCGCTCCACAGCCAATCGGACTGCGCAATGATCTGACAGGAACCGCGAACACCAAATCACGTAACAAGAAGGGTGACCGCAATAAACCACGCCCGGCGTTTCTTACGCTGTCAGTGATTATAGTTACTGGCGCTGAAGAAGCGAGGGACATGGAATATTATCTTTACAGTTCTTGCTTCGTAATTTGCTCTTCGGCGTTTTATCGGGCAATATAGCAATTAAGTTCATTGACTGTGGACATATAATGAGACGGTGCAAGGGTCACGCAAATTCCTGGTTTTTTTTAATTTCTCCGTGACCATTTATAGCCTTGAACTACGTTGATGACATCATGCTTGTTTTATATATTGCACTTTTGAGGCTCTTAATAAGCTGCAATATAATTGTAAAACTGTTATAGATTAGTCGCATCCCCAACCGCGTTATAGTAAACGCCTCTAGATCAAAATTTATCCGGCTTAGACGACTGTTAAATCTTCTTTCCTTCAGTATTGTTTTCTTTCCGCACATTTTCGGCTTGTAAATGAAAATATTGTGCTTCCATCTTCCGGGTGTACTGTAAAAACATATGGCGGTCTCGTCGTCTAGTGTTATATGCAATGGAACTCGCAGACGCCTTGTGCATATTGCGTTCTAAGATAACTACATCGTATGATGTAGAATAACACAGTCACCAAAAGAATGAGAACGTAAAGGCATGTCTTTTGGATGCTCGGCCTTCAGCACGCACTCCATGCCTTCCGCGGTGCTTTGGCTGGTAGTAAGCTTGCGCAGGATGCGGGACAACTAAAGTTCCTTCTTGGCGTTTCAGCTTGTGAGTGACTGTAAGACGACAGTTTATTTCATGGTTAAGAGACGATTTTCGATAGACTTACGTGCAGTGTATGGCAATTTTTAAGGAGGAGCCTCCTCATTGTGCGAAATTTTGCCAAGTAAAAGAAATGCATGATGAAAAAGTATTTTTTCGTCTCGAACGGTCGATTGGTATTGAGGCTGATACTTTCGTTTTAATAAAAGTATTCTAGTTAAATTATCCTCCAATTTGTCATTTACCACATTTAACTAAAATTGATTGTAACGGAGATAATTTCACGCTGGAAACTACAAGAATTAATTTAGAATTAAAACCATACTTTTGCTTTGGATTTTAATGATGTAGCTTAGTTCTACAGTTACATAGACAAGGAAAGGAGTGGTGGGCGTTTTTCTGAATTATCCTTTCGCAAGCGTGTTCGCTGTGGTATGCTCATTGACAACTTTTAATTTTATTGAATTTAATTACCTCAAAGAGCCCGAAGGAGTTTTACGAGG